TAAAAAAACGATAATAATGTTATTTAGTCTAGGAAAAACGTAACTTATAAAGTAAGATCAAATTAAAAGTTATTAGACGCTTTAACAATACCAATAAACATTAAACATTGCACAGTATGTGTTAAACAGTAATTCAGTTGACAATGGCTACTTAATAACTTCCTACTTTAAATATAATCACAATGGCTTCCTCAGACACGGCCGTCCTGACAAATCACACGCCCTCGTGTGATGTTGAAGGCCGCGCATCATAATTATCTGAAATTATTTTGGTGTAGTTCGGCCACTCCTTACTAAGAAAATATTAGAACCTTAATAACCTCAGTGCTACACATTACTTCAAGTGCGTAGTTTAATCACACTATTAATTAATAATAACAATAACATCCATATGGCCACCTCGCCTTTTGAAAAACTTATTTCTTTCAATGGCCACCTCGCCTTTATATCCACTAGTTTACCTTCAATGGCCACCTCGCCCTTAACTAGTTTCACTTTCAATGGCCACCTCGCCCTTAACTAGTTTCACTTTCAATGGCCACCACGCCTCTAACAAAACTATGCCAAACTTTAACCATCTATTTAGTACTAAAATACCTTAGAAAAAATTACTTCGCTTTTATCACACGATAGTACACTTATAATCAGTCATTCGAACAGAAGGTAATATACGAAAATCTTACCATCAGTCATCTGAGAAACACGGTTCCAGTTCGATTGGGACACAAGAATGGGGAAGTGGGCGTAAGCGGTCTCGCGCGTATTTGCAAGTGCGATTACAACTTAAACTTTTGAGATGATACCTGTCACCATCCAGTATTTTAATTACCTCAAAGGGCCCTCTATATTTAGCATCTAATTTTGTTTGATTCCGTTCGTGATTTTCTATTAAAACGTAATCTCCCACAGAAAACGATAGGACTTTTGCCTTGTTTTTATTAAAACATGCTTTGTCAAGTCGTGCGTTTGTTCTCTAACCTCTTTCACATCTATCTCAATCTCATGCTCGTCTGCTGGTACCAAATTTAACGATCTAGCTACTTCCGGTTCAAATTTAGGCAGCGTGATGGTCTTGTCCTCCGTTCTCGGTGGGTTGGATAGCGCCTCCACGAGCAGCCGCATGCTGGTTTGCTGCGCCTCAAACAATGCGCGCCATCCGTTTTCTGCAGGTGTCCGTAGATTTTCATTTTGTGCCAACACTTTTCTCAACATCTATAATGGTTGAGGACTTGGTGGGCGTCATTTAGGGTAAAGTGCAAGCGCAAAACACAATGACCCAACTCGATCTGTCTCCACTTCACGACTATCTTCGTAACAACTGTCCAAACGCCTTATATAAAGAGTGTGCCTCGACCCCTCTCAAGCCAGGTGCTCTGCTCTGATTGGTTGTTACTTAAAAAAACGATAATAATGTTATTTAGTCTAGGAAAAACGTAACTTATAAAGTAAGATCAAATTAAAAGTTATTAGACGCTTTTACAATATCAATAAACATTAAACATTGCACACAATGCGTTAAACAGTAATTCAGTTGACAATGGCTACTTAATAACTTCCTACTTTAAATATAATCACAATTGCTTCCTCCGACATATATTCTACTAGAAATATATTCTGAATTAAGAAATGTTAATATATTATTCATGCAACAATCTATTTGAATTCTTGTTATGTTTCTTATAACTAAAGCTAGGAATACAAAGCTCGCGAAACTTTTACGCTGCCCCAAATCTGTGATTCAAAGCGCGTCGTATATAGCTTTTCTAGTAACGTCAAACGATATGATTAATGTTTTTTTTGAAAAAGACTGACAAGTTAAACGGTCTATGCTTAGAAAAACATATATCACAGCGATTTGTTTTAGAAATGGATTTAATGTAACATTAACATAAAGTGGTCATCATCAGGTCACTACACGTCCCCCTGAGAGATTCGGAGTCTACCCTTAGTTAGGGGTGACTAGGCCATAGTCAACCACGCTGGCTCAGTGCGGGTTGGTTGACTTCACACATACCTTAGAATCACTTCTCAGACATGTGCAGGTTGCATCACGATGTTTTCCTTCACCGTAAGAACGTCGTATAAATGTATATATGTAAATCCAAAAAAGCATTGGTACTTGGCGGGATTTGAACCCAAGACCTGCAGATCATAAGTCAAGTGCTTAAACCCCGAGCTACCGATTTATTAAATAAAAATACTGAAATGTAAATAAATCTAAATTGATAAATTGATAGAGCGTAAAGTGACTGACCTAATATTACGAGTGTTTGCGAACCGATTGAAATATTCCAAGCACTATAGCTTCTACTACAAGTGATGGAGGCTATAATTATGAAGTACGATACTCTTCAAAATACAACATTTTTTTATTCAGTTATTAATTAGAATACGCTTTCAATCTTACTTCTTACTAATACTATAAATGCGACCCTTCGGATGTTTGTTACAAGATATCTTCGGCACGGTTCAACGGACCTTAATAAAGTTTGGCACAGATGTAGAACATAGTCTGGTAGAACACATAGGCTACTTTTTAGGTTTTTTTTTATTTAGTGCGGCCAGAGTGGTGGGCGACAGCAATTATAATCGTAGTTTTTATATAATTCGATTATTTAAATGCCATTAAATTGAAACATAGTGAACAAAAAGACTTTTACTTTAACTAAAAATATATTACAAGAAAGGTAAAGAAATGAAAATTCAAGGTTACAGGGTAATAGAAAATAAATTTTATCATTTAATAAAAGCAATATAAAACGTAACAATTCTTGTTACGGATGAATTCATTTAATTAAGTTAGCACGTATCTAGTTATTAATTCACATAACTATTTATTAACTAAGTATAATTAATCCATTAAGTAGCTATAGGTGATATGTTTTATTAATTAGATTAAAATTGTCGTTAAATGTTAATTAATTAATTATTACGTGAAGGGCGATGCTAAAGTAGATCATGTAATGTGAAATAACGAAATTAATTCGTCACGTTTAATTAGAACTAGCTACGTACACACATTTCAATATTATTTAATAGCTGTGCTCGCGCGTCATAGAAAAAAAGAGACAAGGCGTAATAGAAGAGAAGAGAAAAAGAGATAAAAAAATAAGTTTCAAACTTGTATCTGTAAAAATGACGATACTTCGATTTCAAACCCCCTTTTCAAAGACAGACAGACAGAGTTACTTTTGCATTTATAATATAAGTAAGATAAGTAACGATTTGTACAAACATTAATGATAGTGCTGGTTAAAGTCTGAATCTATAAGAAAAAATGTGTCTCATGTGGTTGGGATTAATTTTTTCAGATGGTTTTAAGTTACTTTTCACCAAATTAATGGTAATTGTCACATGTACTTTGTTAAAACACCTAAACGAATACATGGTGTCTCTTTTATTTATAGAAGGATGAGAAGGATAGCAATATTTTACTGCTATTGTGGGCCTATCGCTCAATCGGCTCAATGACATTTTTTTTCCGATTGTGCCGATTCAATAGGTCCAATTGGAAACTCCCGTATTTCGGTAGATGTTGGTCATGTTGCTTGTGCAAGAATTCTTTTATCTTTATTAATAATGGATTATGTTCTAAATAAAACAACGATATCGGATAATTATTATATTTTAATAAACAAATTCATCACATAGAACAATTATTTACAACATTACAATTATATTGTCTTGAAACATTCAATAAAAATTGACTACACCAATGTTGGTATCTACAGACTTATTTACATAAGCTCTTATAATATACATATAAGTAGATGATGTCAGTCTGACTAGATACTTATTTACAATTTAATCAACTAACGACTCAAACACGAGGATAATTTTGATTTCTACTTACATATTGGATACTTTGCTAAACAACTATTGACATGTAATACGACAAAGTTTAAAAGGTAGGAATAGTCGAATTCAATAGAAATGAATAATTAAAAGCTATCTAAACAATTTTATCTCGTAACAGTATGTTTCTGAGACCAACATCACCATTTAAAACATATTATCTCTGTTTTGTCGAAGTTGAAAAGACAGGGATGATGATGACATCTTTTCTACATAGATTTTAGGCTCAGAAACCCATGTTTGGGTCGTTTTAACACTGATACTTTTCAACATAAATCCACAGACATTTAAATTATCAGCCAGTTGAATGTATAGATATAATATAATTTTCTTATTTCCATTGAATCGACTACAAATAGAGTATTTAATGAATAAGTTATACGTCAATGTTTTAATTTACTTTTACGGTGTGTACAAAAAAAGATACTACTTTACTATTGCAAAATGGCAGTTAAACATAGTCAAATCTTAGGTTTATCATAGTTTAAGTAGACAGATTATAATGAATACAAGTACCCAAGTGTAGTGTAAACATAAACGTAGTGTTTGTCTCGAGCGTACACGTCATAACTACATGCCGGAGAGAGTGAGCATCAGTCGACCTTTGGACCGGTAACACGTGTCGGTACGTGAACGAGCCAAATATAACGCAACGAATGCTACACCATTCTTTTGGATAATTTAGTGATTTTGTTATAGTTTAAATTGACATAATTTTTGGCACATCGATACCTCAAGGTTATATTTGCTGGCAACTTTTATAAATAGTTTTTTAAAAAATATTTTAGCAAACTAAATGAATACAAAATAATATTGAGCAATTATAAATTATTATAACTAACTTTTTTGGCAGTATATTAAATTTAAGTATAAATGCGTACTAAAAATTGTAAAATCTCAACATAAACTTTGAGCAATATACAAAATTCAAATATTACAATTTCAAAGATAGTACATAACTACAATTGCATTTGAAAACGTATATAAAAAATCTGTTTTAAAGATTCACTCTTATCTAAATAAACATACAAATCTTTGAGTTTTTTATATAAGCATTGTGGAATCTTAGATTTCAGTGAAACTAAGATTTCTTTTTTTTTCGAAATCTAAAGACTTGAAATTTCAAATAAAAAATCTTTGTTTGGGTTCAGTTGATTTTCTCTACTACTACTATTTTAGACTCTTACGTATAGTTTCTAGACTATCTACTAGATATGGTATCGTTGTTCTGGCGCTAGCTGTGCTCATGATGAGTGCGCGGAGACAGCGAGCCAGGTCCGGACTCCACGCTCGAGTCTCCCGCGTACACCTCCGAGAATCCTCCACCGCTGCCCCCGCCGCCCGCACTGCCTCCTGTGTTTGCTATAATATTAAACATTTAATTATTATTTGCACTTTATTGTGACATTATTCAAGATGTACAGTCAGCGTCATATAGATCATATAGATACTAGAATACTGAGCCAAACGAGTATATACTGTGACAAGGCAAAATTTGATATTAGTTAAAAAACGTATCTGTCATATTCGGCGTGACAACTTTTATATTTAAGCGTTATGACAGGAGAAGAAAAATATTGGGTTGCCCAGTAAGTTCGTGCCGCTTTATAAGGAAAATTGAAACCCTGTTCTCTTAAATTTTTGGAAATGTTTTTAAATTATATTGGTACGACTCTATACCTAAAACATCTTTTATTTTTGGCTAAAATTTTAAAAATTAGTTTTTATCTCAACCAATGAAATGAAATTATTCACAATATAGAAATTTTTGTAACCTTTGATAATGGTGGAAATCCGAAAATGAATCCACTTCAGCTACAGTCTATCGTAAGCTTCCTATCGAAAATCAGAACGAACTTTCCGGACAACCTATAATGTTAATACAAATTGTCAAATGAATGTAACAGAAGTAGTTTATTCAAAATTGTACTACAAGTGTATAGAGATAGAGTTCAATTTTGTCAAATGTTACGATCTTTTTGCGCATCTTGACTGCTTCGTTACTTATGACGCTGTGGCTGCTACGATATTTATGGGCACCTTGCATGTACTCATATATTTGACGCTGTGTATGTACCGATGTTTTTGAGCAGGGTGAGTGTATCTATTAATTTGAGGACTTTTGTTGTACCGATATAATTGATTACTTTCGGTGTACCTATATATTTGCATATCTTGTCTGTTACGATCTATATGACGCTGACTGTAAATGTAACAATGCCGACTAGATGTGGCAAAATAGTTTAAGACAGCATACGATAGAGAAATATTGAGACAGCAACATTGACGCACGACGACGACTTATGTTTTTTTTTATTTTTAGTTCATCTGTCAACAGGCATATGTCACACTTAGAGATGATACAAATTTAAATATGTAGTAGTATTAAGTCTTAAGATTTATATTAGTTATGTTTAGCGGTTTTAATTAATAATAAGCAAACTATTTAAAGTAGAGCATACTGCTAATATTTTTTAATTGCGAAAGAAAAATTACGGTAAGTTATGATATTTGAATTCGCAGGAACGCCGCATTTCATTTAAGATGACCATTAATTTTAAGTGAGTCATTCATTCTTAAATGTTAATTCTATTCGAGGCTTAAGTCTTTTAAATTAAACCCATTAACTGGCAGGTAACGTACATTTCTTTGAATATAAATGAAATTGCTTTTACAATTTATTTTATTTAAATGAGGATGCATGCAAAATAATCCTGTATAAAGATTCAAAATGATGAAGAATTCAAACATTAAATTCCCTATGGTATACGAACCATGGCTGTAAAATGCCGTTAGATAAAAAACAATAATCAACCGCTGACACCCTATTTTTACAAATTAAAAAGTAGCCTAAATCATTTCTCAGTCTCTAAACTATCCGTGTACCAAATTTCATTTGAATTGGTTTTGTAGTTTTGGCGTGAAAGCGCGACATGACAGACTTTGCATTTATATTAAGCAAGGATTGACGGATTAATCACTTTATATTGTTCATATATATCAATATTAATAGGTCTGTAGATACCGTGATGAGGTAGAGGCACGCAGTAGGATGTGCCAGCGCAATGCCTCGGGCGCACCTTCTCGTAGCGGCTCAGCTGCTGCAGCTCACAATCCGAATGATGCTTCTCTACTGCAAATACCATTTACGTAACTGCCACACTCAGAATACTGTAGAAATGACTATATAAATTACTGTTATATAACTCTGGGTGATGACAGTTCGACATAAATTTATAAATACAAACATTTCAAAGTAGGAAGGTGATAATACCTTGGTCATCAGTCGTATCCAAAACTTGTAAATTTTATAAATTAAAATTTAACTTATCCTCGGTTTAAAAATATAATATTACAAAAATATTTGGTAATTTATCGTTTTGTCATTTTTAAGTCATTGTCTAAATTACAAATTATTTTGTCGGCCATATTTAGGAAAATTGTTGTGATAAAATAATTATAAAGTTCTTTATGAGTCGCTCTTTTCGCGCTGATTTCTTTAAATGCTGAAACTTTTCATATTATCATATTCAAGATTAATGCATCAACTAAATGAAAATATGCAAATTTCACGAGGAATCCGCAGTTAGTTACTATCTGTTTGGAAAATTTTACTCACTTTGTATTTATAACTGACATAGTTTACTACTCTAACATTACAAAGAGAAAAAAATTATAAACTATTCTAAGTATTTTAAACCAATATTATTTATTGTTTCCACTTTTTAATTTTAAACGCAAAGAAAAAGTGGAATCAAAAGAAGGATGAAGACAAAGAAATGGCATATTTTGTCCTGTTTAAGTTTGACTGTTGTGTAATGTTCATTTAATTTAGATTGTTCCATGTCCCGGGTACAAATAGGAAGATCGCAGCGGCATTGAACGTGTTAAAGGATTGATTTACCTTCCCTATCTCGGTGTCGCTGTGGGTGTTTCCTGCATGGACGGTGCGGCGGCGCGTCATTGTCGCGGTGACCGAACGTACGGAACTGCAGCGTATGGTCCAAAGTCGCAGCAGTTGCCTCTCCCCCTACCGCGAACGTCGCGTACGGACTTATCTCATACACATCTGATAACAAATTATATATTTGAACAAGGTGACAGGTAAATCAAAGCCTGAAAATATAAACTTACGTTCATATTCAAATAATTAATTTGAGTAAAACATTTGAAAGGTTCAATAATCATACCTGAGGCCGGTGATAGTTTATCGTGTTTGTAGTCGTGCTGGCAGTTCCTGATATTCTGCTGCTCTGGGCAGACAGACTTGTCGGTGCTGGCCACAGAGTGACTGCAGCGCCGCACCTCCTCGTCTACGGGCCCGCCGCACGGCCACAGAGTACTTAATAAACAATATCACGCTATAGTCATCATAGCATCTGACTTATGTATAAAAAATTGTAATTCTGTTATTTCTGCCTGATTAGGTTAGTTATTTTTTAGTAAAAACTTCGGTTTCTTTACTTCAACATTAAAAAATTTTGTGGATAAGTCACTGCTCCTTAATCTGGAACATCCATCAAGCGCTTAACAATCCATTACGTTAATTTACTTAAGTGTTGTGAAAGTTGATTTAAATTATATCCCATTGCCGCTTAAAATGTAACAAGTGTTTTTATAAAATAAGATGGAAACCGAGCATGAACATTTACAAAACTAGAGGAATTTCAGATGCGCTGCTGGTTTGATTTAAGAGATACTGCGGGAATATGCTCACTTTCGTTTAGCTAACAATACTAGCAGCAAAGCGGCGACCGCAAGCGCTGCGAGTGCGGCAAAGGCTAACGACACAGCGCCCAGAACCCGCTCCGTGTCCGCCGCGCCGCCCGCCGCTGGCACCGACCCACCTTCAGATTGAAACGCCACAGGACGACGTAACCTCTCTAAACACAGAGTATTATTATATAATAGAACTCTATTAGAATTATAAATAGCTACTCGTAGGCATAGTGCTAATCCAACTTTACGGCGGCTCGCAATTTTAAACGAGAGCCAGGCTGCTTCATACACAATTTTTCAGGAGCGAATACATCCCTGCCCACTCGTTTATCTCCTAGGCCATCCAACCGCAATGACATTTATGACTACAGTTAGCTTTCGTACTTTTAACACTAAACAAGGCAGAAAAATAGCTAATCATGGTTCAATGAAGAACTTTTAACAATGTTAAAGATAGCATGATGTTAAGTAATTGGTTAAAAGCTGTCGTCTTTATTGCATAAGATGTCAATTATCTTAAGACGACCCCATTAGTGCCTATTAGATGATATAAAAGCTTCATTATTAGATCCCTAAACAGTGTAATGGAATCGAATAGAGAAAGTCATTTTACATTTACTAATATTTGAGTCGAGTAAGAGCGTTGGTGGTGGGTGGCCGGTCCGAAAACTACATGTCCAGGTTCGGTCCGCGCTATGTAACAATGTGTTTTTCTATTTTAGAATTTTATATCTACATTTACTATATTGTTACAATGAAGGAAAACATCGTGATGCATCCTGCACATATCACAAATTCAAAAATGTGCGGTTAATCAACCCGCACTGGGCCAGCATGGTTGACTATGGCCTTGTCACCCCTAACTTGGGTAGGGTCCTAAAATCTCAGTGTGGGCATATATAAACTGACGACGTCGAGTCATAAACTATGATACAAAAATGTATGTAAAGACTTTCCTAAGAGACAAAGTAAAACGGTGAATTTAAATTTTATCAATGTGTTTATAAATTTTAACACGAAGTACATATTTCAATGTAGAGTACAATAAAATTCTTGGGACTTCATTCCAATTTCCGTTCTATTGTTTGAACAAATAAATTCATACACAAAAAATAAAACAAGACGTTTTTCCTTCACTCGAGCTTTTGCGAAGAACAAACGATATAATATCTAGAAAAGATTTCTTTGTTTCAGAAAAGTTATTCACTCTGACAGTAGAAAGAATTATTACGTTTCAAAATTGAAACAAAATTCTACGATCTTTGAACAAAATTCAAAATTTTATTTCCGAACTGTTTTGGTAATTAAATTTAATACATTCAAGAAACCAAGATATTTTTGAAATAATTGTAATAGTTGTATTATTTACCGCTATATAGCAGTAAAAATAGCTAAAAATTATTCGGAAAATAACCATAAAATCATTGCATCCAAAAATAAAGTCGATTTAGATAATAAAAATAAGTAAACATAACCACTCACCACCAGAGTGCGTTGTAGTCGCCGCGTATATTATAGCTTGGTGCCGTGCAGACTCTGTAGCCGTCCACAAACGTAGCGCATACCATGTCCCTGTGGCTAGTTCATTGATCACCACCTAATTATAATCAAGTACTTAAATACATAGCTATTTACAGAACAAGTAAAACATAGGTAATTCCCTTATCCCTTATATTCTTTCAGTTTATATCAGTTAACTTTTGTTTTTCACCTTCTACGGTAAATAACGGTGATATACCTATAAGAATGGATCATCATCATCTCCTTGGCCTTATCCCACCGACGCAGAGAAGACTTCTGTCTTATGAAGAATGTATAACTTGAAATTTATTCGTTGTGCTTACTTCACGATGGTGATGTAAAGATGTTAAATCCGCGTCCCTCCAGATGGCGGTGTTGGTGGCGTCTGCACGTCGCCACTGCAAGCGAACGAGGCGCGCGCCGCACCGGACCGCCCGTCTAGCGTCCAGCGCCAGAGAACTGCTGTTGCTCCACACAGCTGCCTCCGCGCCTTGCTCACTCTCCTCTTTCACTTCTCCTCCACCTTCCCAGACTAGTACTACAATATTTTCAAATTATTAAACCGACAAATATTGAAATGTACAGGGAATATTGAAAATTATTCTTTTGACCCTTCTCTCTGCACAATCGCTATTTGTTGACTCTTGTGCCTCAATAAGTATTTACTTATTATATACATATATATGTTCGTCATTTGTTTCTTGATTGTTAGAATATTTTATATTAGATATTTACCTGGAGGTTTCGTCCGGACTAGTAGTGGTGAGGAGGAAGGCGAAGGACCGGCCCTGGAGTGAGCGACCGCTCGCACAGAGTATGTGGCCCCGCAGGCCAGGGCGCGTAATACCGCGCCAGCAGCCTCACCGCCCGCTTCCAGCCGCCGCTCCTCCTCTACCCCGCCCCGCAAGCTAACAGACTCCATACCATCTCCCGACTCATCTCGGACTCGCATCCACCATATTGTAAAACCTTCATGAAAAAAAGTAAGATATTTGTCCTCAAATCAAAATTAAAAACAATCTCTTCACAGACCTATTATTTCTGAGATTAATTCTTAATTAAAATACGTGTATTCAAGTAAGACAAATCGTCAACACAAAATTAGTAGGGTAATCACAAATTGGTTAAAAGAAATCAATCCTTCGTATTTGTATAATTTTATGCAGAAAAATGTTATTTCTTAAGTAACTACAAAAAACAATGTAACAAAATCTCTTAAAAGATACCATGTGGCGGCGCGGCAGGATGATGAGTGGTGCGCCAAGTAAGTTTGGCCTCCTTGTGCGCGGCGTGGTCCAAGGCAAGTGTGGGCGCGGACGGTGGCGACGCGCACTCTATACGATACGTCACCTCCTCCGAACCGAACGCGTTGCGAGCCGCGCACGTGTAGTTACCACTTGTAGATGCATCTACTTCTGTTAAAATATGAGTTCTCTATATTAAATTCCACCTCTCTAAAGTACAAAGTAAGATTCTTTTTTATCTATATTAAAATCAATGTAGAAATAATGAAGTTCAATTTTTATTTATTGAGAAAATTTACAATACTCTAGTTTAATAAATGAGGATAAAATAAATATTTTCACAGATACAATTCTAATAGGATCATGTTAAAATGTATACCGTGTATTGATAGGTGTCCGTGCGGTGTGAGATGTGTCCTAGGATCATGTGTAACTGGCCTGTCACCACGCAGCCACCGAGCGCGTGGTGCGGGCTCACCACGCCAAGCACACGCCAGTTTTAATGAATTGCCGCATTTTACTCTCGCCCATACACCGAACGACAGTAGTCTCACTGTTGCTAAAGTAACTAAATGATTATTAACTTATTCATAAAAATAATAACCAAAGTTGCAATGATGTAATCAACTTTGCAATTATGGTTCAGTGCTCTCAATAATTTTTAGCATTTGAATATTTTGTAATTTAATCAACCTTATCAACCTTCCCTTTTTATCGTAAAACTTTTTGTAATTGGTCGAAGAAAATTTTAAATTGCAAAACTTTCTCAATTATTTCATGTAGTTTAGTTCCAACAGTTTCAGGTCACGTAGCGAAAAATATTCCATACAAAAAAAACGATCATCGTGATGATTCAAACGCATTACGGAAGGTATAAGTTTCTCAAGAGACCTATGTATCTACAAACTTACCTCTAGATGTAGTCGTAGCTGGCTGAGGAGCAGATGGCTCACCTTCACCAGCCACTGAATGGGCTGCTACCCAAGCTTCGTATGTAGCTCCTTCAGACAATGATCTCAATTCAGTTGATCCACCTAAACCAACTGATGATTCTCCTTCTTCTGGTTGAACGGTTGTAGTTTGTGGAGGTCGTTCTCTACAGAACCACTTTAAGTGTTAATTTCGTTATAAAAAGTTAAAACATAAAGAACTATGATAAAAATATTAGATCAATATTTAAGTACCTGCCAAGTTCTCGGTAAAACACTGTGTAATATAATATTGGTCCGTTGGGTCGACTCGGAGGTAACCAACTAACTGCTAGAGATGACACGGACGTTGCTACTACTTTAACAGCGGCTGGAGGACCAGGTACTAAAAGAAAAGTGGGTAGTTTTATTCACAATCACTAATTTTCTCTTTATTATCTTCTCTAGGGAGAAAAGTAAATTTTATTTTATAATATCTCTTTAAATAAATTGTTGTAGCTAGACTAACCATCTTGGTGTGTGGTACAATGTATAGGATGAGCGGGTACACCGTCACCTGCTGCGGTATACGCTAACGCTTGTATCGTGTAGTTCATATGCGGTCTCAACGCGAGCAGTAAAGTTTCAACGCCCGCTACACGCTTGACTTCCGCCCCCGCCACTGCACTTGGACCACCGCCGCCGCGCACCTCCCATTCCAGCCAATCTGCCGCTGCCGACAAACAACTGCCATCACTCAGCTTAGAATATACTAACAACTTACTACGAACACATCGAGATTGCTTTCTTCGAAAACAATTCTGTTTATTAGTGAATTACCTTCGTTTTCGTAGATTTATCAAAGCTTTCGTTGCATTTTCAGTCGTTCGAAAATACGATAATTTCTTTTATTTTCCTTAATCTTCTGACTTAAAACATCAGAATGTATTAGAATGGATTAAGATTAATTATGAGTGAAAAAAATTAGTCAAATCGTTAAGGCTTTTTCTCTCTTTGAGATATAGACAATAATATTTTCGTACGCGTGTGCTTTGGTGTGATTAAAACCCTCATTACTGCGAACAGCAAAGTCGTTGATTAATTTGATTTTGATAATAAAATGAAATAAACTCACTATGTTCAGGTCGATATAGTAACTTGTACCCGAGCAGTGCGCCGTGGTGCGCGTGCGCCGGCGGTGGCGACCACTCCACTTTCAAGCTTTGAGGCGACACAGCACGGCAGCGTACTGCACGCGGACCCTCCGTAGGCACTTGAGGTCAAAAGAATATATTTTAGTAAATTTCAGTAACTAAAGTTAAACATAATCTGTTATATGTTATCGTCAACACTAGTTGAAACATAGCTAACAATTATCTTCGTGAGTTTTTCAGACCAGGAGGACTCCGAGAAATGTCCTGTCATCCCTTTCATACACGTAGAAATAACTGAGATACTCTGATTAATATTTTATTCTTCTATTTTAGTCTTTCTATGCGTCTAACATATAATTGGTTATTATTTTAGTATTGAATAAAGATTATTATAGTCGCGTCGTGAACATTTAATGAGTAACTATCGACTATGTGTGTTGTATATAGAGCTTGAGTTATGGTGTGGGTTGTATTTGTATAAACTTACCACTCTCTTGTGTCAAAGTGTTAACAGGAGCAGTTGCAGGTCCGGCGCCCGCACTGTTGAATGCTCTAACGCTTATGGAGTATCTATTAAAAAATAAGACTGAATAATATCACAAATTTTGGTTTTAATAATCTTAAAAATCATTTCGTTTAAGAAGTTATCGAGTTTTGAAAACAAACTTAAGGCAAATAATATCGATTCTCATTATTGAGCCTTTTTGATCGTCATTTAATTTTACTCGAACTTCTAAGTTAGATTTGAGAAAAATAAATTTTACTTTATTTCAGACCTACACTTTTTTACTGACATTTAAAAGCAAATTATTAAATTAGGATGATTTTTGAACGAATGTTTTTTTCATCTCATTACATTTAATACTTAAAATGTTGTCCAAAGAGCTTGTTACTCACCTCGTGTAGTGTTCTAAACCTTCAATAGTATATTTATTGATTTGACCGCGGACCGTCGCAAATTCCATTCCAACATTAGCGCCACTAGACAGAGAGCCATCTGCTGATGGCCACCACCACACCGTGTAGCCGAGGAGTTCGCCATTCCATGCTGATGTGGGAGGCGCCTAAACACAATTATTTCCTACTACAAGGAATGTAATTTATATGTCATATATACATGACGATATTGTATTAGATTATAAAATAAAAAAAAAATATTTTAGAAATGAATTTTGCATTTACAAGATTAAATCCAACTAGTACAACAATCTATATAAAATCTTATCTTGTATATACTAGTACGTTTTTAAAAACTATAGAGTACCTGCCATGCTAGTTCAACAGTAGCTGGTCTCGGTGCAGACGCACGGAGACTGATCGGCGCACGCGCAGGCGGCTCGTGCAGCGTCAACGCAAGTAGCGCCCTCGTATGACTTGATGCGAACTGAGCTGTTACAGTCCTAGCTCGAACCAGATAAGCTGTGGCAGGCTCTAGCCCTGATATAGTAGCACCTTCCAACCTACCAATTGAAATAAACGAAACTGAACAAGGACGCCAAGCTTCTGATATTGAATTCTAGTTATTACCATTAAAAGAAGAGTGAATAGATTAACTAAGTTTAAGATCAAGATTGAACTGACTTACTCTGTATAAGTGTCTACCGAATGAGCAGAAACAGATACGTTATGTGTATCGGCGTCTCTCCAAGAATCGGCACTTGTAGAATCGTGCTTCCTATACTGCACGACATAGCCCAGAACGGGCGAATTACCGTCGTACGGTCTACGCCATTGTAGACGGACAGAACGAGACGTCGTTTCTAGTACACGGAAATTTGCAGGAGGTTCTGGAGGTTCTGTAAAAAAAGCCAATTAAATAAAATTTATTTATTAAAAAAATAATGGAATTTAAATATTTACCCGGTAAACGAATATTACTATTGCTATTTAGCTTTACTTTTGCAAACTTTTTCCAATTAAGTACTACTATGATCGATCAGTTCGTACCTTGAACACCAAGATGTACGAAATGGTCAGACCGGCCATAAGGATTTGAAGCCTGACATCGATAAACACCAGAATCTCGTCTGTCAGCTCTCTCTAACACCAATTCACTTCTCAAGCCTTCAGCACTGCGTGTTTCCGAGATACTCATCCTAAAATGAAATAAAAGTGTAATATTCAAAGTTTGTTTGTTACAAACTTTATATCAAAATAGTTGACTTTACGCCGTCCAAAAGTTTTATTGGCAAATTTCTCACTTGTATTTAGCTAAATTTAAATCCACACAAAAATTCAACGTATGAATAAAAAAAACAATAGAAACCTGTATTCTATTTCTACCTGTAATCAGAGTTAGGAAGTGCCCGTCCTGAAGTACTCCAAGTCATAGATAGTGGGTTGTCTCCTCGCGCCACGCACGCCAACCTCACCGTATCTCCGAGTTTAGCTGTCACATTTACTGACGGAGTTTCGAATCGTGCTGGTTCTAAAAACATAACTTCTCATTAACTCAACATCTTGATCTACGCCGTAGTACGTATAAAGTAGTCGTAGGTCTACGTCGTAGATGTTTATTAAGACCTACGACTTTCTACGAATTCTCTTTCCGTACTTATTAGTGGAGTGAACTTTAAACCTTTTTTTTAAGATATGTCTACAAGTTTAGTTAACAATTATATCAAAGTTCTTACCGTTTACATGTATGGTGAGGGTTTTCGATAGCGGCGGAGCAACCCCATTATCCGCTCTACAACGATATTTTCCCGAATGTTCGGCTCTCGCAGATTCTAATCTTAATGAACCATTATTAAGCACAACCGGATCTGATACTCCACCGAGTGAGGTTTCTGTACTACCTTATAAATAAACAACAGTATTAAGAAATCTTGTAAGTGACTACAGTGAAGTAATGAATACATCATCAATAAAAATTATTTGAATACTGCCACACCCAGAATTAATCACATATCCAGACAGTCCCTTATAGTTGATTTAATAATTATTATTATAATAGTTTAATAATATGGTAAAACGCCTATAGCCTAATGGTTAAGGGTACGGATTACCGATTAGAGGTCGGGGGTTCGAATCCCGCCATTCGACTATTGTCGTAAACCATATCCTAGCCCAAGCATAGAGCTTAGTTGGAATGGTACAAGAAATATAAGTAAATTAAGGGAAATCTGCTAATATTTTAACAAAAAAAAATATTAGAGTTAAATCTATATTGAATTTCTACTTATAGAGCATATTATCACTGGGAAAAAAAATAATTGTGACTAGTACAAAATCTACAGATGTATGTTAATATACTGATTATTATCAATAATATATGAAACTTTTCAGAATTTGGCAATTATTAATAATAATTGTGTAATTTGTAATGCAATTCTTGTTATCTTACCAGAAAACTTAGTCCAATATATAATAGGAGAGGGATGTCCTCTGGCTTCACAACTGATAGTAAGTGATCCATTAAGTAACACTGCAGCATCAGATGGCTCCATTTGCCAGTACGGAGGAACTATATTAATAATAACCAAATAACATGAGTAACGTTTGTACGAAATATAATAAATCGAGCTATCTTACTTATATCATAAATGTGAATGTTTAGATGGATGAATGGATGTTTTGCTATTGTTTGAAGGATCTTGCTGAAATATGGCATAGATAGTAGAACATAGTCAGGAAGACCACAAACGCCACTACTTAGCGACAGCTAGTTGTTAAAGAAAATTTAAAAGCAAAGTGCAAATATTATTTATTTTATTACAATTAGGTATTATTTAAAGTTTAATTAGTCGTTAATTACAATTAAAATATCTAACATTAGTACACTGCACATAATGCACACACACTGAACTAGTGTAGCTAAAATCAATAAACACAAATATACCTTTAATCGCCAATTCTGCGGAAGTGTTTGCCTTGCCAGCGGTGTTGGTGACTACACAAGTGTAAATACCGCTGTGAGCTGCTGTCAAACTTTTGAATAAAAGCATACTGTAAAATTCAGCGCCACGCTCGTCAACCTAAAACAAAATATCAGGAATAAGAAGTTTTCATTTCATTTGTCAAAATAAAAAAAACGTTTTCAATATTTATATATTAATCCATTTGGCTCAAATTTAACTGATCTAAAGTTTGCAATAGCAATAGGAAAATTTAACCTGTTGTTTGAAGACAATATATTAAGTTTGTACTTCGTGTTTACAAAGACATTATTATAATTTTTGTATGGATCTCAAGAATAGAATAGTTATTTCGGTCGTTGTATTATGTTCACCTGTAGCGCGCTTGAAATGGGCATTTGATCCTTGAGCCATGAGAAATATACGGGCATGTCGCCCGATGTGACGGTGCAGGTGAGCTGCGAGCGATCGCCCGACCTCAAGCCTGGCGGAAACACGATGGGCGACAGCACCGGCGGCGATACCACTGACACTTGCACCTAAACACATTGTATAATATGTATCTTAGTGTTTTAATTTCAACAATGTCTTGTACGATGTATACTCAATTAATAAAACATGGACGTTTGTCTGCGTCGTCGCTATTGCATAGCTTGTGTGACATTAATCTTATACTTACCTTAGTCTATAGAGTATTTCAGTCGCCTGACTAACACTATGTTACCTTTATCTTTCTTAATTACAAAATAATGAAAACATCAAACCTCCCGCCTGGCTAACTCTCCGCCTGGTGTCAAGACAGAGCAAATCCACCCGCCTTTGTCTCGATTCCGGTCTACATTTGTGATCGTCAGCTGACCGTCCACCTGATGATATCTAGGATCTGCTCCTGCACCACCTTCCCATTTTACTGAACTAAAACAAATATACTACTGTTGGATATTCGTTATGAGTTTATTTTTTAATAAAACTTTATTGATACTACGAGCTGTGCTAAGAAGGTCAGTAGTTCGAAACTGGATAACTCATTCACAAGATATATTTCTTTTGAAGAAACTTCTTATAAAGTTAGCTTATCTTTATATATGTAATTCTTCTGTGAGTGTGTATGTCACTGAACTTCTCTCAAACGAATGGACCAATTTAGATGAAATTTTTTGTGTGTGTTCAAGGGGATCTGGAAATGGGTTAGATTCACAATTTTGTCCGCTGGACAATGTTTTTTTAATTATTTTTTATTTTTTAGTAGTTGTTGATTTTGGAATGTTTTACATTGGATCCGACAGACGGCGCTACCATCGCAGTGTCAAATTGTCAGACAACGTCTGTCGGGTCCGCTAGTTATATGTAAGCCAATACGAAAGTAATTTAGCTTTATACGGCATAAATTACACATTTAATAACGTAACCTAAAAGTATCACTTACTTATCATGTTACATAACAGTTTATAAATATTTTGTACCAAAAATACACCAAAAATATTTGTAAGCTGGAAAAAAACATTTAAATAAATAAGTATCGTAACAGCGTACTTACTCTATTGGGAATCCATAATACGGGCACCAAATAGTTATGTCTGAACCCGCAACAGCCTTAACGGGATTCATGGCGCGTATATACGGAGGCCCTGAATGAAGTCATTTACCTTTTTTAATAGAAAAACAGCGAACAAGATTTCTTATAAGCAAAATATACGAAAAAAAATCTCTAACTTTTCGTGTGGTTTAACACCTTTTGTCCTATAACCCGTGTTTATGAATATAATAATATTCAGATGAAAAAACATGTGTAAAAATTATTTTCAGATAGCGATAGTGACAATGTATGTTGTGATCTATTAAAAATCATAATAAAGATAGGCCCTTTGCTATCTTGTTCTGCTTAGTGCACCTTCGGTTAAAGTAGTACTTCACTTCTCACAACTCTACACTCCATGCGAGCTAGCTCTCCCATCACCCACCTTTCCAAGAATACTGTTTTGTAAGATAAAGTGATTTTATTGTTATCGTCCAGCGATTTATTGCAGGGAAATATTAGTTTTATCTTCTTTTGCATGTCACTCTCCTCCTTTCCAATCAAATTACAAATCTCTTTCTTTCCACATTTCCAACCTTTAGAGGTAAATTTACGTTAGTATCAATTTATCTTACCATATACATTGAGTCTTGCCGCATGTGCGACGGAGCCATGAGAATTGGTTGCTCTACACTCATATCGTCCCCCATGCTCAACCCTTGCGCTGCTGAGTGACAGCGTGGATAGAATGTAGTTGTTGCTGGAACCGATACCAGTTGGACCATTCTCATGACCTTCCGTGATCGCAGCACTGTTGGTAAATAAATAAAAATGTATTTTTTTTCATATTCAATGCACAAAAGGTATTCCCAGTGATTCGTATGTGGCACTATTAAAGGCGTCATAGTGTAGTTAATTTTTTAGAAAACAATAATGAACGTACCCATGATGAGGAGGTATGAGTTGACCATCTAGAGTCCATCTAAACCTAGGAGGTGGTTCACCAACAGCTGAACATTTTAAAGCAACCTGAGCTCCTGGCTGAACGGCCTGCTCAATAAAGGTGTAAACTAATTCGGGTCGCGAATCTGTACAAAGGAATGGAACGTTAGCGTAAGAAAAATATAAATTGCTTTAATAAATCAAAGTAGGTTTTCTCACCCGAAGACCGCTTTAAGCGTTTTCGCTTCAGGGACTTAAAGCCGGCAGCTTTCTTCACTAATGAGCACCACATAACTGCAAAATTTAAATGTAAAGGAAATAACAACTTTAATATTTCCCACAATATCTTGCTAACATTCAAAAGAGAATGCCAGAGAAACCTTTGTGGTTATAAACAAAGGAACTGTTTTTGTTTTTAAAAAATGTCATCGTAGTTAAAAGTGGCCAGGAACAGCCTTACTAACGAGACAACGCGTGTACAATAACATGATACATTTAGAACACGACGAAACTATCTTGTTATATTTATACGAAGCACAATCTACAACTACATTTTTTATTGTCTCATTAAATTAATTCGCGTTATAACCTTTCCGTGTAAGAAGATGGCAGACAGCATATTTAAATGCAAATATTTTGGTATAAAAAATCCTATATTTATGCAAGATACAGAACAAAATTTGCAATTATTTCTATTTTATACAGTTCAGTCGTATCAGTGGCCAATTTTTCGAGGCGATTTCGGAACAAGCTGGAGTAGTTACTTCACCAAAAGGAAACTTTCTAAATTGGAATAGTTCACCGGATATTTCCCGCTCCGGCATCCATCTTTGTGGAGGCTCGCTCTCCGCGGCCGGAGGGGAGGGAGACATATTTATTATATTTTTTCGTTTCATTTAGATCAAAGCTCCGATTCGATCGCGGACATTGATGTTTGTACATGATATAAAATAAAAGAAAGAGTATAAGTTAATTAACATTATTTATATTCATTTAATTTGAAATCCACGGGAAAGAAGTTAGACCTCAAAATGTATTTATAATATATTTTTAAGCGTCAATAGCCTACTGGTTAAGATTACGGATTTCCGATCACGAGGTCGGGGGTTCGAATCCCGCCATTCGACTATTGTCGTAAACCATATCCTAGCACAAGCCAAGAGCTTAGTTGGAATGGTAAAAGAAATATTAGTAAGTTTACCAAAAAAAATCTGCTAATATTTTGATAACATATATATAATTTATTTATATCGTGTGTATTATTATATTATCATGTTAAATAATTGAAACAATATTGCGACAAGTTCGATGTTAATATGTTTTGTTGTGTTGGATTTATTGTTCGTAAAAGCAGCTTCAATAAATTTAATATGATCGTTCAAAGGATGCTTTTATTGCGAGTTTTGCTCGAATGACTTTTTTATATTGCTTTAACCTCTACTTCGTGTTTTATAGTTGTTGCAGATATATTTAAAACTAACTGTAGCCCGCAACTTCGTCTGCACAGTATTTAAAAAATTATGCTTCTATATCTTTGCCAAATTTCATTAAGCTACATGCAGTCGTTCTTGAGATACCTTCTAACAAATATCCATCCAAACATTCGCAAAGAAACAGATAGTATGTTTATTTATGGTTTGATTATAAAGGAAAATTAAAAGACACATTCAGCGTACACAATAACATAAAACCTTAGTTTTTTGACGTCGCAATTGCAGCTTTACACTAGGAAATATTCTGTTCAGTCTAATAATATATTTTCGTGATTCGTTTATAAATTAATAGGCTAATTTTAATTAAGGAGTTTCTAAATGAATTCATTGATTTTCAATCAATATAATTAATGTCTTTCAATTATAGAAAGTTCAGTAAAGCGGGTTGGAAGGGACCCATGATTTATAAATGAAATGGTACGACCCTACCAACTTAAGATTCTATGTAAGAACAAATCATTATTTAATAAAATTAATTTACTCAATTATATAAAATACTAGCTGTCGCCCGAGACTCTGTCCGCGTGGATATATAAAAAACTTAATATATACATAAGTTAAATAAAAAGCACCTCTTCAAGACATAAATTCGAAAAAAAAGAAAAATTTTATCCTATGTCCGTCTCCTGGCTCTAAGCTATCTCCTCACCAATTTTCAAACATTTTGGTAAAGTCGTTCTTGAGTTATAAATAGTGTAACTAACTCGACTTTCTTTCATATATATAGATATAGATAGCTGGGGCCCGCGACTCCGTCCGCGCGGGATTAAAATATAGTAACCGATTCCCACACCTACTGAATATGCAAATAAAGTTTCATAAAAATTGGTTAACACGTTTCGGAGGACTATGTTAACTAATATTGCGACACTAGAATTTTAAATATAAGATTTTTGAAACATGATACTTAAATCTGGGAAGCATGGCATTATCTTTTACCTAAGAAATAAAATTAAAAAAAAAAGTTTGCCTTACTTTCGAACGTAAGTTTCGGCTGTTAAATCATTAATTGTACACAAAGTGACGCTAACAACTCGAAAGTTACTTCAAGAGTGTACAATCAAAACAAATTTGAAGTCGTAAAATGTTGTAACGCTTCTTGAATAATACAAAACTTTGATAACGAGTCTCGTCCGCAACCGACTTCAAACTCAAAGACTCTGATTTTTTCATCCACTTCCGTAGGTTTTGATTAAGGCTCACCACTTCTATTAGTATCTGCGAAGTCCGGACAGTCTGCGGCTTTAATTAGAAATTCCGGATCGCTGTGAAAAGTTCCACTGTACAAAACGGGTCGAGAACTGCCGTATCAAAGATCTGCGGCCAATTGATTGCCCCTGTTTCGAACTTTAAGAGCCAGTCTATAGACTGTTCGTAGCGAGAAACACAGACAAAGAAAAATGTATCGAAGTCAACTATTCGCTGTTCGTTTAACGAGGATATTTACTATAGAAATAAACGAATATACCGTATTCGTAGCTGTTTTTGTTGATGGCATATCATTTGAACATTGCTTTGCTTTGACAAGTTTTACAACCTTCTAGCAGATTCGGGTCTGTTTTTATTTAGTAGTGAACATATGTATATACGACTTTACTTTGTAAACCGTACTTATTAATTTTTATATAAGGATTTAGTTATCACAGCAACGAAATACATGAGTTTTTGTTAAGCTTAACTTATAGTTCAGTTCTTTTTTGTTAAACAAAAGCTATGCGTTAACATCTTCCTATTTAAACGTTTTATCTCAAGAACTGTTTATTACCAGTTATAGCTAACAAACCCTTTAAATATTAAACCAAAACGAACACAATTCAGTTTGCGCTAAGAAAGACTAAAAAGAAATTTCTCGCTACAATTCGCTAGCAGAACGAAGGCTTTATTTTTCTCTCTGAGTGAGTACGGAATTTATGAGCGAACCCAAAGCAATAAAATACCTTGTGAGAAAATGAAGGAGCAAATCGCAATATATTTGTTCCTTCGTGGGCAAGAACATTTTGGCCATTTGTGCGATATACTAATATTGTATGTAGAAATAAGTGTAATATTAATATTGGAAGGTGGGAAGGTTACGTGTTGTACGGACATGTGTTCGCTTATCTGGCGGTCGTAATGGTGCCCGTCTTTGTATTATTCCGCTCCAGATGATCGTAATAACCTCGAATTGAATTTTTCCGTGTATATTGTCTTTTATTACTTTATATTGGTATATATTGTGATGTCTTTCATTGTTTTTACGTAAACTATGTTATACGATTAGGGTTGATAAAATTTGTTAGATGGAACATATCATGTACACCTGTATACCCTTAAGTCAATGCTCTTTGTGATTTTTTTTAATCTTTCGTTTACTTCAATGTTTCTAGAATAATGTAGATAAAAAAAGTCTTTTTTATGGAAAGCTACGAATTGTATTAGCAATAGGATGGATAAAATATGAGTACTCGAAATCCACCAGACAGATTAAGTTCTGCTAGAAAATTATGAAGGCAAATTGAGAGTTATGAAATATAGTTGCCGTTTCTTAAGCGCGGCTTTCCTGTACGGAATAACTAACCATTATATTTATTATCCTTCCCGTTATGAACTTCAAGATATTTTTCAGAGTGCAGACTCGTTGGGCTGTTTGCAGTTTTTAACGATTCATATTTTTAACGGTTTTACGCGAGAACCTTTTTACACGGAACGTTTATTACTCTTTATGTTGAGGGTTTGCGCTGCAGGATATTTATTAACGGTTTTTATTTCGTTTTAATTAAAATCCGTAGTAAGTAATAAAAATAATCTGAACTCAAGAAGTTAGTTACCATAAAACATCTTGATTTCTCTGTTTTTTTTCAAAGCGTAAGTATAGGACGACTAGGTTTTAGTACAGTCAACTGCATTAATATGTATACATTTACAAAGCTCCAGACATTTGTATACAACTTCGGTTACTTAAATATGTACGCACGTATCTGTCAATTATATCTGTTCACGGTCGGCTTAATACGCTTTTTTTATACCGAATGAGTATACAAAATACTGAAGCTTTATAAATGTATGCATTTTATTACAATTTATGAAACTTCTTTTAATTAATTTTTATAAAATTGTATATGTACGATTTTTTTTAATAATGGTAACATTAAATATAATGATGTCTCGGAGTTACTTCAAAGCGATATTGTATAGAGACTGAAGTAGAGTATTGGATGTATACATACCTTTGTCACTTTGAGCGGAACAATCGGAATCATCGGCTCGGAACAGAAAGCAGTCGTACGACCTGTCGAACAAAATTACGTTTTATTCGAAGCGACAGTAATACTTGATAGGTATATCTAAAGGTGCGCTTCCACTGATGAATTGTGACAGAAGAAGTTGACAAGATTTGAAATCATGTTTCAATACAACTACACCTCAAACTGGTATTTTACCTACACATACTCACCAATTTTAATTAATTAATAAAAAGAAATTCGACGCCTCAGGGGATCCAAGGGCTGGCGCGCATTTCGGCCAAAGGTTGAGCCTGGCCATCCAACGGGGAAATGCCGCCAGCCTCTTGGGAACCCTACCGTGCGACGGCAGCGATTTGGGGTCGATTTTTTATATTATTTAGTTTTATTTTTAGTTTGGTTTAGTTTTAGCATATAGTTTATAGTATTATTTTGGTAGTTTAATTAATTAGTTTTATTAATTAATAAAATGTGAAATTTTATTCCTTATATCAAAGACATATTTATCTTTTAAGAAAGAAGGAATAATTTTATTATTAACACATTTTTAATAAATTTATTGTATCTTTAAGTTAATGGAAACACACCTTAAGCGAGGTAAAAATATTTTAGGTTAAAAATAAAGAGATGTAATTTAAAAGCATTTATTTTGATGTTCTACAAATTTAATAGCTGTAACTCGGGAAAAAGGCCTAACAATTACACCCCTCAGGGGTGTAATAACAAAGTTGTTTCATTTATCTCGAACGTATTTTCATGTTTAATACATTTACTGATGAATTTAACCTTAATTGTTAAAATAATTTATGGAAAAAAATCAAATTAGACGTTAGTTAGTTAGGTATTCTCAGTTAAAAATAAGCGTGGGTTTTCTTTTCATTCTCTTAGACAAAACCGAAAATAACATATTTATTTGTTCAGGCATTTTTGTTAGTAAGTATATCGTAAAATGCTTATTTGGAACTAAAAACTAAAACTAATAAAAGTCTAGATCTAGATCTTCATAATTGAAAACGATGTCTACATAAATAATAATGGATCGTTATTTAAAAAAAATTGGCTGATGCTTGCTTTCATGTGGTCTGTTGTATGGTAAAGTGCTCACTGTTAAAGCAATGTACAGTCAGCTGCAAGTAATGTTCATTTAACATATTATGCAGTCTCGGACTCGATAGCTACATACTTTACCAACTATCTACCAACGTTACGTTACTCGACTTAATAAAAGGTCAGCTTTTATAAGCTTCGCTATCCAGGAAAGTTTGAATAAAAATATTTCATATAGTTTCAGAATTTTCAATAGGGGGCGCTCTACTAGCGCAAGTCACGCTTCAGTTTTTTTTATAATCGCGCATTCTTCAAACTTCTTTTACATCGGGGTCCACTTGTAAAGTATACCTTCGCGATGAATAATAAAATGTTTTGATTTAAAAATAGAACAAATTGCAGAGTTATTCCTGGATGGAAAATGTATAATAACATTTTCAATGCAATTTACATCCATTCGGGCTTGTATTTAAAAAAAAGACGAGTAAATTTTTACGTTAAGTTATTGATGCTAGGGGTAATCATTTATAAATTAAGCAAGAAACGTAACTTAAATGTCTTACACTTTGGATGCCCGTACAAAATTGGCCAATCTCTTTTTTTACTCTAAGGATACAAGATATAATATGTTATCTTCAAATATAAAGATAAATAAAATAGAATATGCAACATCTTAGAAAAACGTAAGTAAAAATCTTAATTACCAGTGTTATCTCTTCCGAAAACAAGTTGAATAGCAATAAATTAGTCGTATGAGCGAAAATGTCTAGTAAATAAAACAAAGTCTCAGATTAAGTGAAATAACAGACGTAAGCTGTTTGTTAATGTGAAAAGTTCGGCGTCGGTACACTTAAACATCGCGAACTTTTGAGATGTAGATACAGGCGACGGAAGCGAGGTTGAACTTTTAACGTCTTATAAATTTGAGGTGACGATATTTTACTAATGACGTCATAAAAACACTTTTTAGCTAACATAGATATAAATTCTTGATTGTTTTTATAATTTCTTTGATATTTACCAATTCAATTAGAATAGCGTTAAATCCATTGATTGATTTGAATCTTTAGTTTTCTCACCTATTAGCTTTAGTGATGTAAGCTGTAAGCTTTTTTTTGCATAAATAAATCGTTGTCTATAATAAATACATATTGCTCAATGGGGCTATCATGAATATTAGTGTAATATTCATGATATAGTCGTAATCGACAAAATTCGTATTAAAGTAATTTGTATCTGTATGTAATAAAAACGAAAGAGGTGTGTTAGGTCCAAATCGAGGTCCGTGGTCTCTGCCTACTATTCTGGGTTAGGGCGTGAGTTTGTTGTTTGTATTAGTTTGTGCCCCTATCACACGTAAAGAGCAATAAAAAATGTATACTATTTTTGACATAATTGTCGATGATGATACAAATGCGATTGCCACAAATATTAGTGATAGACCCAAAGTTTGTATGAAATCGCTTATCTTTTATTTTGTCCAAACATTATAAATAAATCATTATATTAAAAGGCGGTTCGTTGAAATATTTATATTTACCTTTCTTTGATCTGCACTAAAAGTATGCACACATTTGCTACTTTTAATGTTTTTCTTCCATTACTGTATGATTCGAAACGTGCGCAAAGGGTTGAATAAATCAACAGAAGCGGGCAAAGGAAAGACTCGGTATTTTTAATGGCAAGTCTGTACGCTCTTAAGTGATGTTTTAATACTAGAAATTGGGGATCGTTGTTTAAATTAAAATATATTTGGAAACTAGCTTTTGCCCGCGACTCCTTCCTCACGGAATTAAATAAAAAAAAGCTTAGCAAGTAAACTTTGTGTTTTCTAGAATATTTAACATTCATGTTTATAATGTTAGCAAGATTATTGAAATACCCTAAAAACTAATATGAACAGTCAGCGTCATATAGATCGTAACAGACAAGATATGCAAATATATAGGTACATCAAAAGTAATCAATTATATCGGTACAACAAAAGTCCTCAAAATAATAGATACATTCACCCTGCTCAAATACATCGGTACATACACAGCGTCAAATATATGAGTACATGCAAGATGCTCATAAATATCGTAGCAGCCACAGCGTCATAAGTAACGAAGCAGTCAAGGTGCGCAAAAATATCGGTACATTTGACAAAATTGAACTCTATCTCTATATACTTGTGATACAATTTGGAATAAACTACTTCTGTTACATTCATTTGACACTTTGCATCAAACCATTTTTCAAAATTTACTAAAAGTGTTCGACGCGTATGACAGATATTAGGTAGATAAAACCAACATCAAATTTAAGTTTGTCATCATATATGCTAGTTTGGTCTCGTGGCCTTACCGTTCGCCGCCGTTGGTACGTAAGGTCAGCGGTTCAAATCCCAAGCCACTATTTTTTTTTGATATTTAAACTTTTTAATTTTAATATCGAAGCACATGTAATTAAACTCTATCGCCGTAGTTATTAGGTACTTTTTGATATTGCCTTGGACTAATGAGTTTGACCGTTAATGTACTTTTCTATTTCAAACAAAAATGAAGGAGATAAAGCGATGCTATTGGCATGTAATTTGTTTATTACTCATGTTTGTTAAACTTGTACCGGTAAAAATAACACTTTTACTTTTACCCTTTACTGATACTGATTATATTTAAGAAACAAAGAAAAAAAACTGAATGTCAATATCCAAACTACATCAAATTTTTGGTCGATTGCAATAAACATTCCAGTGTGCGTGGGCGCGCACACATATGTAGATAACACTTGTACGTATAGTTTCCGCGCATACCATTCTTAAAACCCGCAAAAACAATCCACGCTCCGCCCACTCACTTCACCCGCGATGGTCTAACCTAATTGTTGTTAACTTTATTTAAATTTCTTTCTACCCGACAGCGAAAATTATAAAAAAAAATTGTCGAGCAAAATTTTACATTACCAAATTTTTCATTATGAAATATATAATTATTCTAGTTATGAAAAAATAACCCCGTGATTGATAAAATGATAAAAAAAGAAGCCTGAGATTCGAACCGGTAAACTTATTAAACATATTACGGCAAACATACTAGAATACTGCGCCAAACTAGTATATATTGTGACAAGGCAAAATTTGATATTAGTTATTACGTATCTGTCATATTCGGCGTGACAAACTTTTATAATATATTTAAGCGTTATGACAGGAGAAGAAAAATATTGGGTTGCCCAGTAAATTCGTACCGCTTTATAAGGAAAATTGAAACCCTGTTCTCTTAAATTTTTGGAAATGTTTTTAAATTATATTGGTACGACTCTATACCTAAAACGTCTTTTATTTTTTGCCCTTCCATTCGAGCGACGCTCGAGAGTTGACGTGTTTTGTGTTGTGTAAATTGTATTCACTCGCAAAATTGCTATTAACAAATGTGATAACCGGTTTCAAACACTGCAGTGGCATACGCGCAATAAAGAAAGAAACTACCTGCGGACATTGATCAACGGTGAGCGAGACTGAAACGCATAATCGGACAAAGCTACGCTAAAATTAACGCATCTCGCTACAAACTATGTGCTACGAACAAGACTGAATATTTCAAACGTTCCAACGCACCGAGCGTAGTGTAATATTATAGCGTAGTACACTTACAGATCTGCACGAAAAAGTCGATAGTTCGCGTCTCACCAGCGATTCACATTTTTTTTTTTTTTTTTCATCTTTTTTCTCTCTTCTCTTTTACGTTTTATTCGAGTGAAGTTCCTCTGACTTCCCAGTTTTATTACAAAAAACAGCATAACAATTGTCCAACATGCCCCTCAAACGAACACCTCCGTCATCAACGATGTCATCTCCTCGTTGCGACTCTGAACCAGACCTTTGTACGCAACCTCCAGCTCGGGAAGGTACAACCAGAAGACAAAAACGAAAATTTGAACAAGTAGATGAACTGAACTCATTTATGAGTGAAATGAAGCAATTATTTAAAGAATTCAAAAATCAGTATGAAAGTAAAGA